GCCCCCTGGCATCCGGCGGGCGAACGGCCACGCCCCCTGGCGCCCGGCAACCTCTAATAGTTGGGGACCACTGGTCTAAACCATGGAATTACACTTACTTCACTATTCAAATGAAAATTAAAAAAATAGCAAATAACCACCAACATTAAGTCAGTTTTACAAACACGTTAACAAACTAAAATTGTTTAGTTTGGATAGCCATATATTTGAAAATATCCGCATATACCACCCTATTTTGGAAAAAACTCATATGCCCACCAATGTGAATGTTAGTTGAGAGGCATCACTTTTACAATTCAGGCAGTTTTCACATGCCTTTTTGACCTCCTGTACTGAATTACATCATATCATGGCATTGTGCTTTAAAATCATTAAAGATAACAAAGAAGCCAGCATATTTTTAGACTGAACATGTGTTACTAATCTAAAGAGCGGAGGCAAAATTCCCTGGTATAACCCCACTCAAGTTATAGTGCAAAATTAGGGATGATTTTGACCAAATCAACTAGTATTGTGTTGAATAGCACATGAAAGAGAAGTATTCCCCATTATCTACAAATCAGCTAGAAAGACAAGCAGCAGAGTGTAGATTAGGCCTGGGCAAAATATGGTCCACGGGCCAGATCTGGCCCACCAAGACACCCACAGAGACAGCGGGGACCCCCACACAGGCTCCCCTGCTTGCCCCACAGCCCTGCATGCCGTGCAGAAATGCAGCTGCTGGGCTTCCTTTCTGTTTCAAAACTGGAGGGGAGAGGGGCAAGTTTCAGGAAGCACCCCACCTCAGACACAATCCCACTGGCTGGTTTCTGACCAGAAACCGGCCAATGGGATTGTCCTGGGGGTGGGGCAGCTCCTGAAACTTTCCCACTCCCCTCCAGTTTTAAAACAGAAACCGAGCCCTGCAGCTGCATTTCTGCATGGTGCGTGGGCTGCGGGGCAAGCAGGGGAGCCTTGCCCCAATCCTCTGCCCCACTGCTCAACATACCCAAACCTTTTGTCCCCCCCTTGCACCCATAATCCCTCCCAGATCTGGCACCCCAATCTCCTGTCCAGATCACAATCCTCTTCTACCTTAGGTCACATCCCAAACCCCTGCGCTCTAGTTCCCTGCCCTAGGTCACAACCACCTCCTTCACTCAAACTCTCTCCCAGACTCCAGTCTCTCTCCTGCACCCCAATCCCTTATCCCAAGCTCCCTTCTGCACCCAAACTCTATCCCAGACCCTGCATCTCCTCCCTTAATATCATGTCATGGCCAGTCATGCAGGCTGGTAAGTCTCCTGGACACAGCCTGCCTCTGGCATCCCAGCCCCTTCCTGCCCCAATCCTCTGCCCCCCCGCCCCACATAGCACCCATAATCCCTCCCAGATCTGGCACCCCAATCTCCTGTCCAGATCACAATCCTCTTCTACCTTAGGTCACATCCCAAACCCCTGCGCTCTAGTTCCCTGCCCTAGGTCACAACCACCTCCTTCACTCAAACTCTCTCCCAGACTCCAGTCTCTCTCCTGCACCCCAATCCCTTATCCCAAGCTCCCTTCTGCACCCAAACTCTATCCCAGACCCTGCATCTCCTCCCTTAATATCATGGAAGAGTGCAGCCCTAGACCATTTTCCAAAATCTTGGTGTGGCCCCCTGTCAAAAATTATTGCCCACTCCAGTTTAGATCATTATTATATTTTAAATAGTCTCCTCAGGGCACACTTTTCACCAGCAATGTTTCCTCTGTTCTCTTTACTGTCACTAGCCTGCTCATTGTCAGCTTGATGATCTCCAATGCCTGTCTCAATGAAGCTAAGGAACCCTCTCCTCCCTCCCAAAATCCAAGGCTTAAAATGTCATTTGCTTTTTTCTCCTTGTTTTTAAACACCATGGTGGTACTTCACTGAGAAAAAAACACGTGGTTAGCTTTAAAAATGTAATGTATATTCTTACTTTGGTACTAACTCTGTGGAGAGAGAGACGCACCCATGAGGACTCCTGGGCTCGCTCTCAGCTCTGGAAGGGGAATGGGGTCTGGTGGATTTCAGCAAGGGGGCAGATACATTTCAGCTTTATATAAGAACATCAGAATGGCCACACTGGGTCAGACCAAAGGTCCTTCTAACCCAATATCTAGACTTCCAACTGTGGCCATTGCCAGGTGCTACAGAAGGAATAAACAGAAGTAGCAATCATCATGATCCATCTCCCATGGCCCATTCCCAGCTTCTGGCAAACAGCCCAGCCTTCCTTGGAGGTGCTACAGGCTTAGGTAAGTACCTCCCAGCCAGAGCCTGCCTCTGGCACCCCAGCCACTCTTGTATCCCAACTCCCTCCCCCAGGTCACCATCCAAGCCCTCCTGCACTCTCTGCCCTTGGTCACAACTCCCGCCCAGACCCTGCACCCCTCCCCCACGCTATAATCCTCTCCTGCATCCAAACACCTTCCCAGACCCTACACCCCTCTAACCTGATCCAGGTTACAATGCCCTCATTT